GACGCAGGGCTTGAACTCACAAGCAGTGAGATCATGACCTGAGCCTAAGTCGGACGCTCAACTGACTCTGAGCCACCCAGGCGCCCCTGTTTTACTATTATTTTTTTAGTGTTTAATTTTGAGAGAGAGAGAGAGAGAGGCACAGAGTGTGAGCCAGGGAGGGGCAGAGAGAGAGCGAGACACAGAATCCAGAGCAGGCCCCAGGCTCTGAGCTGTCAGCACAGAGCTCAACACTGGGCTAGAACCCACGAACCGTGAGATCGTGACCTGAACCAAAGTCCAACGCTTAACCGACAGAGTCGCCCAGGTCCCCCAGTAAACCAGTATTGTTAGCCTGTTTCTTCACGGACCCCAGTGATTATAATACTGGGGACTTTGTTGACCATGGATTTGCTGATGTTTTGTTTTGTTTTTCCAGAACATTTTTTTTCTAATCTTATTTTTTTAATTTTTTTTTTCAACGTTTATTTATTTTTGGGACAGAGAGAGACAGAGCATGAACGGGGGAGGGGCAGAGAGAGAGGGAGACACAGAATCGGAAACAGGCTCCAGGCTCTGAGCCATCAGCCCAAAGCCCGACGCGGGGCTCAAAACTCACGGACCGCGAGATCGTGACCTGGCTGAAGTCGGACGCTTAACCGACTGCGCCACCCAGGCGCCCCTCTTATTTTTTTTATTTAGCTTTATTTTTTATTTTTAAAAATTTACATCCAAATTAGTTAGTATATAGTGAAGCAATGATTTCAGTAGATTCCTTAATACCCCATTTAGCCATGTACCCATTTAGCCCATCCCCCCCACAACCCCTCCAGCAACCCTCAGTTTGTCCTCCATATTTATGAGTCTCTCTTGTTTTGTTCCCCTCCCTGTTTTTATATTATTTTTGTTTCCCTTCCCTTGTGTTCATCTGTTTTGTCTCTTAAAGTCCTCATATGAGTGAAGTCATATGATTTTTGTCTTTCTCTGACTAATGCTGATGTTTCTTTTAAAGTAAAACAGTATTCTTAAAAAAATCTGTAAGTTAGACTTCTAACATTCAAATGATATTTTAAAGTACAAGGAACTTGTGAATCCTTTCTGTAAAGTGATTAGTCAATCATTAAGTTACTTTTTCTGAAAATACAGGTTTTTCACTTTAGGTTTGCTTGATAAGGTAAACTTTCTGGTTCTAAAAATATAAGCACAAATGTGATAGAAGTAGTATAATAATCTGACACCCAGCTTCCTCACTTAGCTGTGTGTCAAAGGTTTTTTCATATTGCCACTTTCTCTGCTCTTTCTTTGCTTTATTATATATTTGTAATGGGTATGGAAGAAATAGGGGTGGTGAAAAATGCAATTGTGAAGCACCACTGCATTATGTTAATAGAAGCAATATGAAACAGAATTTGCTTTCAAGAACAGTTTTTAAATATTCAAATACAAGTAACCTCAAATATAAAAACACTTTGTCCGGGTTGGGCCAGAGAGCTTAGCCACACCAAAAAATACACTTCAAAATGAATACCAGTTATCCTTGTTTATTTTTTGTCTTAATGAATGCTCATTTATAGGATTGATAATATAGGGTGGTATAGCTGAGGCTAGTGAGAAGTGGTTAGATTCTATCAGGATTTATTGATGAGTTGGATATGGGGATATGGGAGAAGGGAGCCAAGGAAGACTTCAAAGCTTATGACCTGAGCAGCTAGAAGGATGGAGTTGCCATTTATTGAAGAATGCTGTACCGAAGGACATTTTGGCAAGATTGAAAGATTGCAATTCAGTTCTAGACATGTTAAGAGTTAGATGTCTCTTAGACCTCCAAATGGAGCTGTTGAGTGAGCAGTTGCTTATATAATCCTGGAGTTGAGGGGAGAGTCTTGGCTGGAGATTATAAATGGTGGGAGGCATAGGCATCCAGATGGTATTTAAAAACCAGAGTTTGGATGTGGTCACCAAGGAAGTGTGTGCAGCTAAAATAAAGGTCTGAGATCTGATCCCCACAGCCCTCTACGTTTAGAGGTTCGGGAGATGAGAAGGAACTAACTAGCAAGGGAACTGAGCAGAAAGAGAAAAACCTGGGGTGTGGTATCCTAGAAGTCAAGTGAAGAGAGTTTTCACAAAAGGAAGCTTGGTCAATGATAACAGACTTTCCAAGTAAGACAAGGACTGTGAATTGCCATTTGATTGTGGCAACGTGGATGTCATTAGTGACTTTGGCAGTGGTGGTAAAATCTGGGTTTGGAGAAGATTCAAGAGAGTGGGAGGTGAGGGATTTGAAAATAGCAAGAATGTATAGATCTTTTGAGCACTTTTGCTATAAAGGGTAGCAGAGGAATGGGACAATAACTGGAAGGTGTGTCATAGTCAAGATATATTTTTGTTTTCATTTAAACTTTAAGTGAGAAATTATGATCACTTGTGTGCTGATGAGAATGGTCTATATGTAAAGGAGAAAATTGATGATCAGATTGTTGCTGGACCAAGCGTCCTTGAGTAGAAGAGAAGGAACGGGATCTAGTGCATAAGCTAACAGCATGAGGTAGATTTTCATTTGTACGTTCGTCAAAGGTGAGCAGCTGTTAATGTTTCAGGCACTGTGATCCGTACTGGGAATAAAATGAGAACAAGATGTGGGCTCTCTGCTCACATGGAAATTGAACCCTCTTGATGGTGTTATTCCCAGATAGGGTATTGCAACTCACTGATTAAGAAACTTACTCAAAAGTAACTAAAATGTAGATTTGAATCCAACATAACTTAAAAGTCAGCTATTTCTCACATTCTCCCTACCTTCACAGCTGTCAACGTATTAGTTCGTACCACCATCATCCCTTGTCTGGATTGCCTTGTGAACCTGACTGGTCAGCCTGTTTCTCCATATAATCCATTTTCTACCTAGCTGACAGCCCTTTAGAACATGTCATACCTACTCACTGCCCAGAACCCCCTGATATCTTCCCAACCCATTTGGAATAAAATGCAAACTCCTAACATGGTTTAACTTAATCTGGCCCCTGTTCTCTCTTTCCCAACAGGTTTCTATTCCATCACTGTCCTGTATCTGTTTTTTCAGCTACGTCTAGTGTATTCCCATCTTTTTGCAGTTCCTTTACCTTGGAATGCTCTTTCCTCAGATTTTTCCTTAATTTTCTACCTTAAGTCTCAGTTCAAATTTACTTCTTCAAGGAAGCCTTCCTAATTAAAATATAGCCTCTTCCTCATCATTTATTCCCTTTCCTTGCTTTTTTCTTAGCCTTTAACACCTCTTGAAATCATATTGTGTATTTAACTTTTTTCTCTACCAGTAGTATTTAAGTCTCATGTTTAGACCTTGTTTGTGGTATTCACTGTATCTGTAGAACTTAGAAAAACAAACATGGCACATGAATTGAAGGTATATGCAATTCCATGTCTCATGAAAAGTTTGGACAAGTTCTATGAGTTGGGAGGAATCCAGTTATCTATATAGGCTAGGTATTATTTATTGGAACAACTTGAAGCTGATACTTAAAAGATTAATTGGATATGGATGGGGATGGGAGGGATTCAAAATATCTGAGATTTTTTTTTACATAGGTATTATTTCTTTAGTCATCTCATGGGTGGAGGGAGCAGCAGAACTTACGTTCTCCTAAGAGAAATGGGGAAAATTAAAGGAACTAGTTGGCAAGTGTGGGTTTTACTTATTTTGTTTTTTGGAAGGAAGAAACACTTGTTACAAATCTATTATATGTACCATATAATACTTAGGAAATATAATTAAAGAAAAAGAATAAAATTAGAACAGTTTTTTCATGCACTGATAAACCACTATTAGTACTATTCTGATACATAATCATTCATGTTTATGTCTGCATCTGTATTCAGAAAACAAAAATTTGGGGCACTTGAGTGGCTCAGTCGGTTAAGCGTTTGACTTCGGCTCAGGTCATGATTTCGTGGTTCATGGGTTCGAGCTCCGCGTCGGGCTCTGTGCTGACAACTCAGAGCCTGAAGCCTGCTTCGGATTCTCTCCCCCACTCGTGCTTTGTCTGTCTGTCTCTCTCTCTCAAAAATAAATAAGCATTTAAAAAAAACTAAAAACACAAAATTGGCATTGCTAGACTTATTGGTGATTTGAGGTAAAATCAGGACAACCAAGAGGAAATGCTTCCTAGGCAGTTGGAAGTATAAAATTAGGTCTTGGGATGTAAATCTGGGAGATGACTATATAGTAGACTTGGGGAATGGATATGATCTTTAAAAGTGAAGAAAATACAGGGAAGATGAGATAGAGCCATAACTTTGGGAAACATGCAGATTACTACTAGGTGGCCAGAAGAATCACCATGGAAAGGATAGAGGAATAATTAAAGGTGAGAAGACCAGGCTAGTGGAGGATCCTGAAAATTTAAGGGAAGAGACTTTTTAGGAGGCAGCACCACTAATGTTAATGCTTATTGCAAAGGCAAGGAGGATGAGACTGAGGAAGCAAAGTATCCATTAGTGACATTTGGGCATACAGCTTAGCATTAGAGGAAGAAGCCAGTGCTAGTTAGAGAGAGAGCATAGATGGCAAGGGCTTTTCAGAGTGAGTTTTCGTTAGAAACATGGTTCTATAGGGATATCGCATAGATGATGCCTTAGGTATCTAGTTATTCCTGTAGCTGCACAGCATTAAGGATATAGTAGATGTGATGTGTTCAAAGCATTTGAAAGTGAAAGGTAAATGGGTAACGGTTTCTTGTTTGTATATTGTTTTGTTATGGGAAATTTGGCACGTTTGAAGACAAGAACCAGTGGGTAGGAAAGGATGTACTGAGCAAAATAGGAGAGTCGAAGAAATAAAGTTTGCGGTTATTTCCAGAAGAAGGTGGGGAGAAGAAATGGGCTTAGTTATTAGGGGTAAGGAGTTAACCTTGGAAAGGAAGTAAATCTCTTTCTCTGAGGTATAAAGAAGTAAAAACAGTTACTGAGAAAGTTTTTAAGGCTGAGAGGAGAGAATATAAGGACACCGGTGACTTTCCCACACAATCTCCTTGGAATGACTTAGTGAACGAGGATTGGAGACTTCACTGAGACAGAAGGACTGAATAGCTGTAATGTGAGAATTATACTAGGAATTCAAAAGAAGACCTCAAGTTTTGCCAGACAGCAGTGAAGGTAAATTTGATTATTTTGAAAAGGGTTGTCTGAGAACAACTGTTACATTAACACCAGAAACTTAATATCTAGTAATAATTTGGCCATCTTTTGGATTGCTGTTTAACTAATCAGGTCATTTTTCATAGTATGAAAAGATGAAGATGTGTTTCACTAGAAAATTCATCTCTAACACAAACATTTACTCTTTAAGACTGTGTGTGGATTGCAAATGTTTTCATGTGAAAGATTATCTTTGATGTTGCCGACATGGTGGAAACTTGAAAATTGTGATCTGATATTAAATACTGAGAAGGTTTTTGATTGTTTAATTCTAATTTATGTTATAATTTAATCCTTATTACATAATTTTAATTAAGGTAGAGCACCAAATCCTCAAATGATGAATTTTTTTCACACCTTAAAATGAAATACTCTGACAGAGAAAGGGATAGACTGAAGCTCTGGAGGGTTTTGTTTGTTTTAATTTAACATCCAAGTTAGTTAGCATATAGTTCAACAATGATTTCAGGAGTAGATTCCTTAAGCCCCTTACCCGTTTTGCCCCTCCCCCCTCCCACAACCCCTCCAGCAGCCCTCTGTTTGTTCTCTATATTTGAGAGTCTCTTATGTTTTGTCCCCCTCCCTGTTTGTATATTATTTTTGCTTCCCTTCCCTTATGTTCATCTGTTTTGTATCTTAAATTCCTCATACGAGTGAAGTCATATGATACTTGTCTTTCTCTGACTAATTTTGCTTAGCATGATACCCTCCAGTTCCATCCAGAAGCTCTGGAGTTTTAAGTGGTAAAGATACTAGAGTTGAGAAAGCTTGAGGAAGAGCACTTCAGTCTTTATTCAATGAATGTTTTTATAAAAATGCAGAAATATTTCCCAAAGATAGATACATGCCCTTTGTTATTTTTGTGAGAAAAGGAAAAACTATAAAAATAAAAAATTTAGAGTTGTACGAATTTTGCACACTCTTTATTAATTAGCTTCCGTTTTTCCCTATAGAATATTGTTCTATGTTAATGACCCTAAGGTAATCATAATAAATCAACATTAAGGTTAACCCCCAAAGATTCAAATTGTACTTACTCCTCCTTAACCATCTTTGTGCCCCTAGCCCCTTAGAAAAAGGGCAGTTAGGCTTTATGACTCTAAAATCAAATGTTTACATTGGGATTGTAATAACAGAGATTTTTTTTTTCAGGTCTTTGTAGGTAAAATACCAAGAGATTTATATGAGGATGAGTTGGTACCCCTTTTCGAAAAGGCTGGTCCCATTTGGGATCTACGTCTTATGATGGATCCACTGTCTGGTCAGAACAGAGGGTATGCATTTATCACCTTCTGTGGAAAGGAAGCTGCACAGGAAGCTGTTAAACTGGTATGTGATAAAGAAATACACACCGTGTAGCAAGTCATTATTTGAGAGAGTTACCTCAATTAAAAATGTTTGCAGTTAACATTATTTTCTTCAGCTTTTGCTTTGAATAGTTATATATTGATTAAATTGGTACGTGATCTTTGCTCTGTCTTTTCTGATTATAAAAGTAAAAAAGAATGAACATACCCAAGAAATAATGTGTCAGAGAAAGTCTCTCATAATTCCTAGAAGTTATTTATTAGATTGGCTAGTAACTAAACTTTCATTTGAATATGCATTTGGCTTCTGCAGTTCCCTTTTGATTTTAGGCAGAAAGGATGTCAGTCATTACTATTAAACTTTAGGGTAAGATTCTCAAAAGGGTAATGAAGGCTAGGATGGATTCTGCAGAGCATAACTGAGTAACAGCGACTTTTAGGACATAATTCAGGAAATTATTGAGACTCTTATTTTTGTCACCACCTAATCATACAATTTATTTTCTAAGTATGTGCCTATTCTTTTCTATATTTTGTTTTCAGGCCCTTCAGCCTTCTCTGTCTTTAATCTTTCTCGCCTTTTTTTTTTTTTTTTTTTTTTTTTTTTTTTTTTTTTTTTTTTTACTATTTTATAGCTAATCTTCTGTAATCTAGTAATTTCCTTTTTGCAGGGCCTTTAACCCTTTGTACTTAGTAGTACAATAGTATGACTACTACTAGGAGGAGTAGGAGTAACAGAGTTCTGCAAATGAGGTGTATCTTCACTCCTGTATTGGTACAACCATCTCAGTAACTTAAAATAACAGTGTCATTGTTTTTGCCTACTCTTTCCAGACATCTAAAAGCCTCACTTTGTCTAGTTCCAGTCCTTCTAGAATGGGTACCTCTTCCACCAGGGCTTTTGGTTTCATTAATCACTTCTAAATTACTTCCACTTCTAGCTTGACCCAGATTTTAGTTTTTATTAGGGACTTTTCCTTCTGACTTATTATTGAAAGTTTTCAACGCTTTATTTCCACATTTTTGGTAATGTATGGATGATTTTATTTTTTAATAATCACATATCTTTTAGTAAGGTAATGGGTAAGTAATGTTAAAACCTAAGAAGCTGAAGTTTACCAAGGAAACTATCACCATAGTGATTCAAATAAAACTTTTTATTTCCTATTATTTCATGTAATTTTGAAGGTATTTTGAAGGTGTTTGATATGCTGTTTAAAACTTTTCATGTGTACATTTAGAATTCTGTGTTTTGTGTAGAATGTGAAATTCTTCTAAATTTCTTTTGTATTAATTATACATAGTTGTTACTCTTTTTGTATTGTTATTTTGCCTTTGGCTTATCTGTATCTAATTTTATCTCCAAGGACCCTGAATGATCAGTCTTGGGTATTTTTTCTGAAGTTCTCTGGACAATTTTTCAGATAGATCACATTGAAATATTAAATAAGATACTTTAAAAAATAAAGTGAAATAACTGAGTCATTTTTATCCAGAGGAGCAGTGAAAGTTAACAAAACCAAACTAAGATGAGAGACCATAACAAGTTCTAAAATACACATTTATATAATGGTAAGCATGAGGGAACTCGGTGAGTTCATGAAGCAGGAAGTGTTTGACCTTAAATTGTTGAATTTTTTAGATTGAGATCAGTCGTCCTGAGTTTGGGATGGTTGTGGGGTATCTGGTTCTCTTCTTCCTTGCAGTGTGACAGCTATGAAATTCGCCCTGGTAAACACCTTGGAGTGTGCATTTCTGTGGCAAACAACAGGCTTTTTGTTGGATCAATTCCGAAGAATAAGACTAAGGAAAACATTCTGGAAGAATTCAGTAAAGTCACAGGTAAAACAAAAATGTATTTATTAGAAGTTAGTTTTGGGACGTCTGTGGTACTATTTATAAGTACAAAAAAAAAAGGTGTATATTAATCTAAAAATTCAAACAAATCTTCAATGTTTAAGTTGCCTCCTTTCTACTTTGCAGTGGTTTGGACTAAGTGTGTTCCCTCTCATCCTTAATTTCTTGGAATGACCCCTTCACTTCTGTGCCTTAGCTTTTGCCATAGTCTTGCCCTGAAGGCTTCCCAACATTAAGTGTGCTTCAGGGCCAAGAGGGTGAGAGTTCTTATCCTTCCTGTTGCCTTGTCTAAATCAGATTTTGGAAAATTTCTGATTCTAAATCCATGGAATTGAGAAGTTTGTTGAACATCACAGGTCTATATACATTTATAACTGAAACAAAATTTAACAAAACTGTTAATTTCACTTTTTATGCATGATTTAGCATGGTATTTCCTGTTCCTTTTTTTTTTTTTTTTTTTTTTTTTTTTTTTTTTTTTTTTTTTTTTTAATGTGGGTAGGGATATACTGTTGCTGGCTATGGTTTAAAAAAACATTGATTTAGACCATTACTTCCCCTCATAAAAACCATGTTTTTGTCTTCCAGATATATTATCCTTTCTCCTTCCTTGATGCTGTCATCTATTACTCTTCTGGTTTTAGTCTTTCATTAATTGGAGATTGCTCTGGCTCGTAGTGTTTCTCTTCTGCCCTAAATTGACTTATTTGTAGTACCTTTAACATGTATATCGATGAACTGTCCAATCCCCTAGCCTCCTAGTTTAATGACCACCTCATCCCCAGTTCTTTACCTCAGCTCCCCCACATCCAGATCACATTCTGGATCTTGCCGCCAGAAATTCTCCCCTCTCCAAAATCTTGATTTCTAGCATTCCGCTTTGTAACCACTGCCACCGCCTGTCACAGTTGTGTTGGTTACGTACCCCTAATGGTGCAGTTCTTTGACCTCATCACTTTGTTAGTTTTCTGGCTTCTTACCCATTTAGTCATTCCTTCAGCAAGTGTTGATATCTAGTGCCTGTTAAGTGGTGGCATTGTGCTATTTGCTGGGATACAGTGGTGAATAAGATGTATTATCTGCCCTTGTAGAGTTTATATTCTGGGAAAGGAGATAAGACAAAAAAATTAAAGAAATATTTATACATTGGGGTAAGCAGTAAGCACTGAGAAGAGGGAGATGATACCTAGCTAGAGAATAGCTACTGTCCTTGCTTTGATGGTTATGGAAGGCTTTTCTGATAAGATGACATTTCAACCAAGACCCAACGAATGAGGAGGATGTAGCATTCAAAGAGCAAAGGGATGTGCGTTCCAAGAGAGCAACACATACCACGGCTCCAAGGCAAGAGAGAAGTTGGTGTATTAAAGTAACTGAGAGAAGGCCAGTGTTCTTCAAATTACTGTAGAATTAAGGGTAGAATTGTATGAGATGCCACAGGGGGCTTTTGTGGACCATGTAAGGAGTTTAGATTCTTTGTGTAATGAGAAGGTATTTGGAGGTCTCAAGCAGGGAGTAATGTCTGTTTCATGCTTATAGAATATTATCTCTGCTGCCATATGGATAATGGTTTAGAGGGGCTTAAGAGGAGAAGCTAATTAATTAGTTGAGACTGTCATGGTAGTTAAGATAGAAGATTGGACTAGGATAATAGCCATGAAGGTGGAAAGAGGTAGATGGGCTCAGAATTGGGTAGGGGAGTACAGGAGGTAAAGGAAGAAATCAAGAATGAGTCCTCAATTTCTGTCTTGAGAACCAGGAGATGGGACTGTTTGTTAGAGAAGTAGAGAAGACAGATTTAGGGAGCGGTGACTGCGGTTTTGGACATGTTAAATTCGAAATGTCTTTAAGTCTGGGCTAGAACCAAAACCTAAGCATTCTTAAGGATGTAGATAGCTTTTAAAAGTACAAAGTAGCCGATACTACCTAGAAAGAACATATGTGGAAAGATGAGAACACAAGACAGTAATATTTAGCAGTCATTTTCATTCTTGGCAAAAACCTTAATTTTTAAGTTAGATCCAAGGATGATTTTTGGTAATGAGTATTTGTTGAATGTAAGTTCTCTTGGGTTTATGTTAATAATTTGGGTTTTAAGTTCCTTGGTAGTGTTTTCATAAATTACAAGGTCATGTTATATCAAACACTCCAACACTATAGAATGTTATACGTCAGCATACAGTGGTTGGACCTGTTGTTTATGGCTGTACCCTCAGAACCCTGAAAAATTAAAAGGGAACATAAAATACTGTGTCAAAACCCATATCTAATAATGCTGATTTAATTGTCTACTAGGTAATTAGGGAACCCTTTTGAGGCTTCTTCAATATTTTTTGCTCTTCGGCAAATGGATTTAGGTCTGCCTAATCGCTAGATGTGTGGTGGATGCTTTTGGCTTATATATCTGGCTGTTGGTTTAACAGAGGGTTTGGTGGACGTTATTCTCTATCATCAACCCGATGACAAAAAGAAGAATCGGGGGTTCTGCTTCCTTGAATATGAGGATCACAAGTCAGCAGCACAAGCCAGACGCCGGCTGATGAGTGGAAAAGTAAAAGTATGGGGAAATGTAGTTACAGTTGAATGGGCTGACCCTGTGGAAGAACCAGATCCAGAAGTCATGGCTAAGGTAAATGCAGTTGCTTGGGATGGGGGTGAGATTATCATTTAAATTTTGTACTTAGAATAAAGCTCAATTTTTAAAGGTTTTATGATAAATATAGATTGTAGTGCTTGATCTTAATTATTTAGGCAAGGACCTGCTTTAATACCAAACTTAACATCCTGTCTTGGTATCCAGAAGTTTCTTTTAATCCTCCCTTTTCCCAGAGATTAAATGTGCAAAGGAACTGAAATGAAATCCCTTTAAGTATTTTCATACACGCTGAGAATTTGTTTAGTGCTAGGCACTAGGAGGGATACAGAGGTTTATAAAAGACCAGGACTTGTTGAATAAAGTAATGTTTTGGAGATTATGAATTGTAATCTTCATTGACCATACTATGACTTTTTTCATTTAATGGTCAAGCTCCCTTAGAGTATTGTCTCCAAGAAGAAAGACAAAGGGTTATCATGTTTGCTGTTACGTGATAGTGGCAAAATATGCATGGCAAGTCCTGTGGCAGGCCCTTGCTTTCCTCCTGAATCTTATACTTGCATTGCTGCGATCTTTGCCTGGTAAATAATGGTGCCATGAGATCTGATGGTTAGGCTTTCTTTTGGGTGACTCCAGGGATTGAAGGGACACATCAGAGTGGCATCTCTGCTGGTTCTAGTGAGTTTTTGTGTATTTTGGTGTGTCTCTTCCCTTCTTGGTAATAAGGCAGCAACTCTTTGATGGCCAGAAATTAGTGGTTGAATTCTTTTAGACTAAGAAGTCTTTCTTCAAAGGTTTTTTTTTTTTTCCAGGTTCTGAGCAAGTAGTCTTCACTCTAACTAGTTTGAAGGAGAGCCAGCCCCAGTTTTTACTAGTATGATCCAGTTTTTGTAGGCACAGACCTCTTTGGATTAAGAGAAGATCCATTGAAAATGAATCAGAGGCTTTCACATGTGCTGCTCAGTATCTTTTTCCCATTTCTTGAATAGATTTGTGTTAAGGAAGGGACGGGGAATTTAAATAGCTCTGATTTTTTATTTTTATTTTTTACTAACATTTTAATTCCATTTGTTTATTCTAATGCAATTTGACTTTGGGCAAGCTACTGAACTTGGATGTTCTCTGTTTTACTGGAATTGGATAAGTCTCTTAAGAACCCTTACAACTTTGACTGCCTTGTAGAAACAGTATAGTTTGTATTACATTTTCTATAAAAACGTGTTTAAAGTAGCATGTGTAATGTGTAATATATCTACACATTATAAGAGGTGAATAAAATTCCCAGAGAATGTAAGTGTAGCTGGTAATTTGCTCATCAACACTTTTCACATACCTCTTGTAACCTTTCAGATTGAAATTCATCCTAAACTTTTTTCTGTAGGGTTAGAAAACGTCAACATTTTATGCGAGGAAATATTCTTCCGAGGTCATAAACAAGTTTCAGAAAGAAAGGGAGGCCTCAATAAACTTGAATAATACTTATTGAATAAATTTGATCGAATAATATTGATTTCTTTATTGTTTTCTAAATTCCAACAGGGGGGTCCTACCCTAAAGAGTAAAAGCTTCTGGTATTACTTCATTCTATCAGTGTTGTAATTCATTGAAGATATTTTGTCAGCTTGGGTCAGTTTTATAATAAATCAAAACCTAAGAGCCTAAATGTATTTTTCTTAAAGGGACTTTGTTCCTTTGGAACGTTTTAAATTTTTTTTTTTTTTCAACCTTTATTTATTTTTGGGACAGAGAGAGACAGAGCGTGAACGGGGGAGGGTCAGAGAGAGAGGGAGACACAGAATCGGAAACAGGCTCCAGGCTCCGAGCCATCAGCCCAGAGCCTGACGCGGGGCTCGAACTCACAGACCGCGAGATCGTGACCTGGCCGAAGTCGGACGCTTAACCGACTGCGCCACCCAGGCGCCCCATGTTCCTTTGGAACGTTTTAAACAAAGTTTCAACAAATAATTTTTATATAGTATGTTGTGGTTTCATCTCCAAAAAGAATAAAAGATCTATGTTGAATTTTTTTTAGAAAAGTAAACCAATGGAGGCCTGCATAACATAGAGTTTGACCTCTCTGACAACACTGCAAAAATAAAGGGGGTCGAGGTGAAAGTGGACGATGTTAGGTTTTTTCACCTTGAATTAATACCTTTCCTCAGATAATTTTTATTCATGTAGCCCTTTATCTAAGGTAACAACTTACTCAGTGAGTGTGTTAATTTTTTTCTTTGAATAGGTAATACAGTTCCTTAGTTCAAAAATCAAAATTATGAAGAAAGGTATAGTCAAAGAAGTCCCACTTCTACTTAATCCCATCTATCATATTCCCTGTCCCTGATACACACCCAGTTTTAGTAGTCTCTGGTTTATTCTTTTAGAGGTTCTTTCCTGACTTTACATGATGGTTACAGGTAACCTACTATATTCACTGATCTATATTTGCTTTATTCACTATCCTATTTCATCAGCTCTAAGGAAGTGTACCATTATTATGCATACCACTAAAAAATTATTAAATGTTGCCAATTAAATTATGACATAGTGCCTGCATGTCACATCGACTGTAAGTTGGATCCCTATTTTGGAGCTGGAAAAAAGGGAAAAAATGTCTTGCCAAAAGTGTGTCCTGTTAGTCTCTTCATATCCACTCTTAGAACTCTTCCTCATTTTTTATGGTTACATAATAGTTCCATTCTGTGGATTATACTGTGCTGTGTTCAGCCAACTAGACATTGGGTTGTTTCTAATGTTTTATTATTACAATGCTATGATGAGTGAGCTTGTATCTTGTTAGTTGATACAAGTTCACATATGCCTGTAGAATAGATTCTCAGAGATAAAATTGTGGGCCAAAGAGTAAATGCATCTGTAATTATTAAGATACTGCTATATTCCCCTGGTACTGTTTTACTCACGCACCAGCAAAATACAAGAGGCCCATTTTCCTCATCGTTGTTAAAATAGTGTATGATCTTATTTTGGATTTTGCCAGTCTGGTAAATGATATATCTTAAAACCATTGTGATTGCTTCTCTTCCTATGTATGGGCTTAAGTTTTTAATATGTTGAGGGCCATTTGTGTTTCTTTATATGAACCATGTATTTGTGAATTACGCGTATCTTTTTGTTTCCATTGAGCTTTTTTTTTTCCTTTTCCTGGAGCTCTGATACTAAAAAAGAAAGATGAACTCTAATAAGTCATTTGTCTTTTGGCTCCATTTCTGGTATTTTTTGCCATATGAAAGTCACTTATTTCTAGTAGTTGAATTTTATCACTCCTTTATGTAATAGATTTTAAATCACAGAGCCTTCCTTAGAGCAATGTTTACATAAAGGAATTACCCTTATTTTCTTCTAATATTTTTCAGTCTCTCCCCATCCCCACCCCTGTCCACCCCTTTGGAAGTTTTTGATCTATTTGGGGTTTATCCTGGTATATATAGTGTGAGGTATAAATCCAACTTTTTTTTAAGTTTTTATTTATTTTTTTTTTTAATTTTTTTTTTTTCAACGTTTA